CTACAAAGGAGAGTAGGGAAGGATATGTAAGGTCTTTAAGAGTTTCAAGTACAAAGTCCTGTGTTTCTTGTAAAACAAATGTTTTCATGTACTCTTCAGCCCAAGTGTCTGTGTGTCTGTGTGTTCCCGTCCATAGTTAACAAAGCAATATACCAAGTCCAACATTGAATCCAAGGGTTGGTTAATCTTTAGTGGTGAGTAAAAACCCCAACAATACAAAACAACCACTTGCTTTGTCAAAATCCTAGGTTTTTTTTTTTTTCTTAATGGTTTCTCCCTTTGCTCTGCCAAATTAAACTTCAATGGTAAGTTTAAATGTGTCTTCAAAGTGCCACGTAACCTTGATGATCAGCCAGCTTCTCGGTTATTATCATAAGGTAGTTAGTGTGAGTTGAACTATAGGGAGAAGATAGATCGGACTCCAGGCCAACCACGTGGTGCTGAAGTTACGCAGAGAAATGACTCACCCATGCAGGGTGAATGATTACATCTCATCTTAAGGCTCATCGTGAAGGCTTTCATCAGACCCATGTGTGTTTTTGGAAGAGTTCTGAGAACATCTAGCAATTCTCAGACATGTTCAAGTGCAGTAAGTACAGTCAGGACTAATAATAATTATAATTTATTAATTGTGCAAAATACCATCCATTATCTTTGTATTTAATTATATGAACAAGGAAAAATTTTACCAACTAAAAAAAAGGGCAATAAAGAACTCCCCCTCCCCCTACCGAAACCATAAACACATGTGACTCTTCTCAAAAGCTGTCAGACTAAGTTTGATTTCGTTGTTTCCTCATTGGCTTGTTACTGTATTTTTGGCACTATTTTCCATAGCTTAGTAGGCGACAAATAGGAGCGGGATGTCAATGGCTCAAAATTAATGTGTATACATAATATATATAACTACTTAAAGCTCTTTTGCTTTATACACATGCACATACACACATATATGAAATTAAAGTTGAAAAAATTCTGTCCATTACACTGATTTTTATGGGGTGATGCCAAAAAAGTTAAGGTTTGGCTTAAGAACAATATTTTATTGGGCGCCTGGGTGGCTCAGTGGGTTACAGCCTCTGCCTTCGGTGCAGGTCATGATCCCAGGGTTCTGGGATCGAGCCCCATGTCAGGCTCCCTGCTCAGCGTGGAGTCTCATCTCCCTCCCTGCACTGCATATGCTCCTCTCTCTCTCTCTCTCTCTCTCAAATAAATTAAATCATAAAAAAAGAACAATATCTTATGAAGGCCACTCTCAAGGAAACCCCAAGAAAGGAACATATTCCTTTTCATTGTTGTTATATTTTTAAGCAATTTCACATTTCAAATACACAGGAAATTTCCAAGAATAGAACAAAAACCTCCATATACTCTTTACCCAGAGACTCCATTCAACCTTCACCAAAATCCCCTCAGGCTCTCTCAGCAATGGCGTGGGACATGCACTTGACCATTCTCCCTAGGTTCCCCCAGTCTTTCTTTGCCTTTCATGGCCTTTGCCATTTTGAACTTTACAAGTTGGTCATTTTGCATATCATCCTTGAACTTGAGTATGTGCCATATTTTCTCAAGACACAACCCAGGTCTTTATGTTTAGGGCAGGAGTAATGCAGAAGAGATGCTGTGTCCTTCCCATCGCATCCTATTTACAGGGCACGCTATGTCAATATGTCCCATTAATGGTGGGAGAACTTTGATAATTTGATTCCGATGGTGTCTGCCAAGTTTCTCCACTATAAATTCCTTTTTTCTCTCTCTTTGTAATAAACACGTTTTTAAGTGGAGACATTTTTAAGGCAATATGAGTGTCTCATCTCTAATCCCACTAAGACCTCCTCGTTTTAACATCCATTGATAGTTCTTGCCAGAATTAAATATTTCTCTGATGATTTCCAAACTGCAATTTTCCAATTCCAGTACTCTTATTATATTAATTAATTGGCATTCTACCACAAGGAAGAACGTTCTGATCTTTCCATATACTTGTTAATATGCTTATTGCTATCAGTCAACATGGACTCCTTGATTTCCATGTTAGTCAGTGGGCTGTGACTTATTATATCATCACTTAATTTAACACTCAAATGGTCTCATCTCTTCAAATGCCTTCCGGGTCCTTCTAACATGTCCCTATCATTCTCTGAGCATTTTCTGCACTACTCTTCACAACACGGTGTTCCAGAATTGTCTTATAGTTTCTACTCCTAGAATCAACCAATTTTTTAAGAAGCCGTGGTGCCTTTCCATGGATAGTTGTTTTAGAAACCAAGATCTGGGCACGAGGTGTGCTTATTGCTATGAGTATATTGTCATTCCCAGGCCATCTTGGTGGAGAGAGCTAGGAGTAATATGTATGTCCAGACATACATACATACACACATGTACACAACTTTGTATCTATAATTTCTGTGTCTGTCTAGGTATATGCAAAATTTATACCAATACCGCTCCTTCCAATCCAACACTACAGGGTTTATTAGAACTTTCCTTCTTCCCCTTTTGCTCCTTCTCCTCACCAGTAGAAATCCCGACTCTCATTATCCCTAATATATTTGCTTGTTTGCTCAAGCCCTTTTTGTAGCCAATCCTGTGACAACGCTGGGTTGTCATCATCACAAGGGTCAATATGACTGCCCCACTGGGTCTGCCCCATGACTTTTGGACAGAATTAGGAAGGAAGGACAAAGGAATGGAGGGAGGTAGGGAGAAAGAGAGGCAAAAAGAAAGGAGTGCATTGCTTTTAATTTGAGGTATAATTAGCATATAATAAAATACACAGATTTTAAATGTTTACTTGGATAATTTTTAATATTTAATAAATTATTCTTTTTAAAATTGAAGTATAGCAGACACACAATGTTACACTAATTTCAGGTGTACAGCATAGTGACTTGACAAGTCTATCCATGATGCTGTACTCACAGGTGTGGCCACCCTCTGACACCATAAAATGCTATTACAGGTCCATTGACTTTATTCCCTATGCTGTGCCTTTCCTCTCCATGACTTACTCATTCGGTGACTAGAAGACTGTACCTCCCACTCCCCTTCACCCATCTTCCCCATTCCTCCTCCTCCTCCCCTCCTCCTCTCTAACTAACAAACCATTAGTTTGTTCTCTGTTATTTACGGGTCTGTTTCTGCTTTTTGTTTATTTCTTTGTTCATTTGTTTTCCTTAAATGAGTTTTGATCATTGCAAGTACCCTAGTAACAAACATGTAAAGTATAGAATGTTCCTGCCTCTCCAGAAAGGCCTCTCAGGTAAGGGCGCACATCCATTAGCAAATACTGTTAAAACCCCTCTTCTGTCACTGCTCCTCTCAACGGCTATCACTCCATTCACATCTGTTGCCAAAAACGTCTCTTCTTAGTTTCACACTTCTCAAATATTTTCCTGATGCCCAGCCTGTTTGGTTTCTCTCTTTCTCCCATCTACCTCAGATCTTTATTATGTAGAACAACTCGGCCTTATCTTCTTTAGTTTCTCTCTTCTCCACACATTGAGGGAATTCTCCACAATAAAACAGAGCCTGTGAATGATCTAGAAAAGCCTTAGAAGGGGAAGGGTGAGTGAGTGAGTGTGTGTGTGCGTGTGTGTGTGTGTGTGTAAAGACTTTGATTTAATCATAGAGGGGGAAGGGCCACAATATTTTCTATTAGTGGGAGTATACTTTTCTTCTTGTCACAGAACACAATGTTCATCAGAAGCAAAGTTCAAGAATCACTGCCTGACAAGAATACTTCTTAAACTAATGTGTGTCAAGCAACTTTAGACCTCAAAGGCCATCCAAATGAGAACCAGCAAAGGCAACTGACTCAGAGCTTGCCATAACAAGGGAGTCAGCCATCGTTATTTGTGTTTGGCAGAGACTCAAAGCAGAGGAGTGGTCAAACTTGATTGTGGACACAAAGGGCAAATTCAAGTATGTCCCGATGGAAGATTGTTGGTATGATAGGGGTAATGGAGGTGGACTAACTAGAAGCTGGGCATCCTATGTGATTAATTGAAGAACATATTTGGCTTTTTCTAGCTTGTCCTAAGTTGGGTTGATTGCTACGGAGGTTGGAATTTGGCTTGCTGGATTGGTTGCTACAGAAACTAGAGGTCAGAGTTCTATCTTCATATATTTTCTGGCCATTGTTCACTTGTAGATTCAGTCTGAGCGTGGAGGATGCATAAGAGGACTAGGGAGTCATGGCTGGTCCTCTCTGAACCCTCCAAGCAGCGTCATCATCATTGGCCATTGTCGCCTCCTACTCAACTTCTGTTCTTCTCAGAGTCCCAGCTTGTAACTTCATGTCAACTTTCCAGTCCCTAAAACAGATCTAGAAATCTGCCTAGACAGATCTAAGAAGTATTAAGAGGGACGAGAAGGACTTCATGTTGACTCGGCATGAGAAGACCGAGGATTTGAGGATAGCTTTGAGGTGGCACCTGGAGGTGCCAGAATGATCTGTTACTAATTGCCAGTAAAACAGAAATCTGGAAGAAATCATCATTTTTCTGAGGGAAGATGATGAACTCAGGTTTTTAGGCATTGTAGTTTTAGATGCCTCCTTGTGGATGTTCTTCAGAATCATACATCTGGAAATGAGTATCATTTTAGAGATGTGGAGACTGAAAGCCGGAGATGGTCCAAAATTTCTACATCAAGACTGTGGGGGAAACAGGTGCTCCAGGCTTCTGATGTTTCACCCACTATGTACACAAAACTAAGGATGGAGGATGAGAGGTCTGGAGTAGAGTCCTGATAATCTGGGAATCACCAGAATTCCATTCGAGGTGATAATGGACCATGTTGTGCCATTAAAATAAATGTTATGAAGATGGAAACCATTTGCCAAGGATTTCACAACAGACCCACAGAAGTGAAAGTAAATGATTAAAAAATGTAGGTCTCAGAGTTCCTTTCAAATTGTGATATTTTACCTTCTATTTACAGAGGTAAAAGAACACAGGAGGAAAGGTTAATGTTTAAGCACTTTTATATTTGCATCCCTCTTTTTAGCAGAGGAAACCATTTTGGTAGCGCCTGTGTGAGTCATCCACAATGATTTCTCTGGGGCTCTTCTTGTTCTCAAGTTTTCTCTGCCATGTTGCTACTGCAGGACGGAGTAAGTACTCTTTGCTTTTGCAAATATAATTAATACCTTCAACCCCCTAGTATATGACAGGGATCAGTAATGATGATTAAAATTCTTTCTAGTGTGGATGCTGGGGAGTCTGGATTGATACTGATTCTTCCCTGTTGCCCCACTTAAAGCTCCTCCCTAAGATATTCAGCCAGATGAAGCCTTGATGTATCGACCTATAAAAGGGGGACACCTATAGTATCCTTCAAAGTTGAGGAGATTAGATGAGATATTGCATACGTGAAATATTTGGTACAGAATTTGGCATAGTTACTATTGGTAGCATTAGTTTTTTCATTTTTGTGCTAGCCGAGCTTAAAAATGAAAATATAGATTTCTTTTTAAAATTTTGTTTAAGATCAATTAACATATAGTGTATTCTTAGTTTCAGAGGTAGAGTTTGGTGATTCATCAGTTGCATGTCACACCCAGTGCTCATTCCATCAACTGCTTCCTTAATGCCCATCAACCGGTTACCTCATCCCCCCACCACTTCCCTTCCAGCAACCATCAATTATTTCCTACAGTTAACAGTCTCTCATGATTTGTCTTCCTCTCTGATTTTGTCTTATTTTAGAAAAATGTAGATTTCTTGACTAACCACTTCGTCTCTATTTCAGCCTGTCCCAAACCAGAAGAGCTACCATTTGCCACCGTTACTCCATTAAAAAGAACCTATGACCCAGGGGAGCAGATCGTGTACACCTGCCGTCCGGGCTATATATCCCATGGTGGGATGAGGCGGTTCATCTGCCCTCTCACAGGACTTTGGCCCGTCAACACCCTGAGGTGTACCCGTAAGTCAGTGCCTTCTCTCACATGCTGTCCCCTCATTGGGATTCAGGACACTTGGTGGATAACCCCCTTTGTCATGCTGGGGGCACAGAGGGCCAGGCGAGCCACAGAGTGGAAGGCTGTGAAGAAACAAGAGGACCGGGGTGGTGTTCATGGGAGGGGACAGTAGAGGTAATAGGTGCTATTTAGAGAGGAGGAGGTGAGCATAGCCCAGAACTAGAAGAGATGTAAAAAAGAGACCTGCTACAATAAAAGAGAGAGAGAGAGACTGCAAATGTGAAAAAAAGATGTACAGCTACTCTGAAATTTAAACAGATGCCAAAGAGACTTTTGAAAAAGTAAAACACAAGGAATCATCATATATTTGGACCTGGCCTCAAAACGAAAGCATCTTTAATGGAATTATCATATTATAATAATATGTTATAATATTATATAACATTATATTATAATAAATATAATAATATGAATTATATATGATTATATAATCATAATTTATAATAAGTTATAATATTACATATAAGTATAATATAAAAACTTAAATATAAATTTATTGTTCTCTCCTTATGGTAGATGGTTGCTTTTCTTTATTCCTCAGTACATGGTTCTGTGCTATCATACCAGCATTACTTTTTACAGTCAAATATGGAGCAGTTAGCCCGAAAGAATTTCTGGACATTTTATGTAGAAGTTAAAGAGTAAAAATCACTTTATGGGTCTCTCTGAGCTCTGGTTGTTTTGGTCATAGGAACGTGACCTTTGTGAAACTCATATATTTCATACAAGTGATTTTGGTCTGCTTTTTGATTCAAAAAGGACTAAACACGATTTTTCATGAAAAACAGCTATAATATCATGAGGGAAAAGTTTTCTTTAAATCGGTCATAACTGGAATACTAACAATTTCATTTTTTCAAGTTACTTTCCATGTGTATATTTTTGCATCATTGCAGAAAGTAGGTATCATTTTATATTTTTCTATATTCATTGGCATAAATATTGACAGTGTGTCCATTGTCTTCATAATTCATGTTTTGTTGGCTGCCTAAGAGTTCAACTGTTGATTTACCATAATTAATCAAGACAACCACCTGTTAGTAAACATTTAGGCTGTCTGATTTTTGTTATTAGACAGTGCAATGAGCCTCTTTGTGCATATATCATTTGACTAGTTTTGAGTTGTTTTCTTAGAATAGTTAACAGTAGAGTTATTGGATCAAAGAACAGAAATGAGTTTTTATATAGATAGATAGATAGATAGATAGATATAGATATATAGATATATTTATTTGACAGACAGAGATCACAAGTAGGCAGAGAGGCAGGCAGAGAGAGAGGAAGGGAAGCAGATTCCCTGCTAAGCAGACAGCCCAATGCAGGGCTCGATCCCAGGACCCCGGGATCACGACCTGCACCGAAGGCAGAGGCTTTAATCCACTGAGCCACCCAGGAGCCCGAGTTTACATGTTTTTACTCTAATAAAAAACTCTATAAATTGAAATTTACCTCTCGATCTTTAAATTACAGCCAGAATATGTCCTTTTGCTGGAATCTTAGAAAATGGAGCTGTACGTTACACAACTTTTGAATATCCCAACACGATCAGTTTTGCTTGTAATCCCGGGTAAGGACTTCTAGCTAACAGAGGCAGAACGTCTCTGTGCCCTTACATTAAATATCAAGACATATTTCATTTTTGGTCTTCAGGCTGGAGCGGCTGAATACAAATCATTTGTAGTCCTGCTTTTAATCTGTACCACAGTAGCATTGGGATGGGGGAGGGGTGGAGACTTTAACAGCTAGAGTGACACATGAAGTTGCTACTTGTATCCAACTCCCCCTCTGGTTAGTTACTTAACTGAGGAGGTGCATTGGAACCCTTAAAACTGGATGGTAATTCTTTATCATCTCTGGGACTTGGCATGAAGGTTAAAATACTTTAGGAATTGGACTTGGGCTTTAGATATGAACCTAATTTGATTGACTGACCTGGGAATCTCCAGTTGGGTATTCTCTGGTGAAATAGGGAGTGTGTTGGTCTAGAAGATAGTTCCGTTGATCAGCATCCCTAGCAAGAAAGCACGTCCGGTCGGTCACGTAGCTCAGCTGCCTTATGAGCGAAGTCACCACCAGCGACGTTGTCGGTATAGGTCAGCTGGCTGTACCTTAGGGCAAAATTTTACTGAGGATTCTTATTTGGGATTGGAAATGAAGAAATACTATGTGTGAAAGAGAAATGAACTCTTTTCATCCGAAACACCAATTAACTAGTGGGTCTGATGAAAAAGGACCTTGAAGCAATTGGTTGGAGGAGACAATGTTACATTTTTGTTGGAAATAGACGCATTGTTTCTACCCATTTATCTCAGTAGAGTAAATAGTTTTAGGAAATGAAGAGTAGCCATGACTCAGTTTGACTCAGTTTTGTGACCCTGAAGAAGAGATGCTTCTTCGCTCTGCGTATGAAGCAGTTATTTTTGGTCTGCTGATTGGAAAAGAGGGATCTGGGGGTTTGGCTTCTATGCCTCCAGCTGTGGAAATTTCTCATTCTTCCGTGAGTCCCCTGCAGCCCTGGGCTGGGAGATTCGATGAGCCTTAGGGGTGCTGAGCTCCTCAAGAAAGCAGCCTTACAAAATAGGGGAAAAGTCAGTAGCATGACTCTGAGGTGATGCTCAGTGACGAGGACATTTGAGATGACTTTGATGGGTGATTTTACTGCTTGATGGGTCATATTGTCCTTTTGCAGGTTTTATCTGAATGGAAGTAGTTCTGCTCAATGCACCGAGGAAGGGAAATGGAATGTTGACCTTCCTGTCTGTATTCGTGAGTCTGTGGGTCCCCAGTTCTGGGGAGAGAGATTAGTTGTTTTGTCTGGGACTTTGCTGGTCTCAACACTGTACATTCCCTGGCCTGGAAACCCCTCAGTCCTCACTCCTTGGGATGGTTACTCATCCTTACGGAGAGTATTCTTCCCGATATCATCTTACCTTGGAGGATGCAACAACCCTTTTGGAAGGACAGAAGGGAAGCATTCGACTCTGATCACATTTGTATCCTCCACCTGGTGAAAACAGTGATATTTGGACTTATTCTTTCCCTCATTCTCACACTTTTTGGCAGGGGCTTGTTTACATGTGATATTGGTCAACCTGGGATGGCCATCATTTGACTAGAAGAACTGGAAACAATCTTCCTGCCACTCTGGGACCTCATTCATTTATACATTCACCCATTTATGTATCTCATAAATCGGTATTGGGGATCTAATGTGTGTCATGTCCTGTTCTCAGCACTGAGGCTGTATGGCTGAAGGAGACTTTGGTCTGCCCTTCGGCGAGTGTGTCTAGTGATGAGGAACATAGGAAAGTAACCTTCGCAGTGACCTTAGACTGCATTAAAGGGCCTCGCCTCATAGGAGTGGAGTGGGTTTGCTTCAAAACATACCTCTGGTTTATTCCGGGACCCTCAGCCACGCAGTCAGGGGCGGCTCTGGACATTGCTGATGGAGGCAAGGGTGTTCTGATTGTGAGTCACAGGAGTCCAATCTTTGACCAGGAGTCCCACACGTCACAATCATGGTTATGGTTCCCCAACATTTCAGTGAGATCTGTCCTAACAAGAGCCAGTGAAAAAGTCAAGCAATTTCAAATCAATGATTGTTTGAGAAAAGTTGAACTACCCAAACAAAAGGTTTTTAAGGCTAAATTAGAGTTCTTTACTTAGCAGTAAAAATCACCACTAGTTTCCCTTGGAAGCAGGTTTACATCAACTATGTAAAGTCACTTTTGCTTCTTGGTTACAAACAGAAAATCTGCTTTAGCTTCCGTCTAATCTAAACCAACGCTCCTTGTACTTTAATGGACATGTGAATCATCCAGGCATCTCGTTAAGAGGCAGATTCTGATCCACAAGTCTGGATGGTGTCTGAGCTGCTGCATTAATAGCAGGCTTCCCACTTGGAGTAGCAAGGATTTAAATAATTCAGATTAAATCACATTCTGCTCTGCACTATCTTCCTTTACGTTAGTATAACTCTCCCTGGGTTTATTGAAACCCCGTATTAGTTAGGTCAGATGACAACCCCGACCACATCTCCACGTAAAGCTACTTGTGCAAGCTCCAAGCATTCGGAGTGCAGAAGCAGGAGATGTTCAGTGGGAACAACCCATGTAAGACAGCAGTGGAATGAAGACGTCCCTGAGGACGTTATACCAAGCGCTCTCATGAGCATTCATTACAGGATGGTCCTCCATCCTCTACTAACTCTGACTTCCAGAAACATCTAGCATTTGGATCAAAGCCTTATGGAGACCTATGCACTGTGTCATTGTAAGAAGCAAATTCGTGGGGACAAGACTTAGACTTACTTCATTTTTCAGTCTTTTCACTGGTTCGGTCATCTGATTTTTCAGGTCATATGTTCTTCCATGACTTTTGTAAGTCTTTGTTTTTACCCTGGCGTTTGATCCCACTTTGCATTTTCTCAAGTTAATCTTTGTTTGTTTGTTTTTGTTTTCTTTTCTGGAAAGAGTAGCTTTAAAAGACTCAACTATTTCATAAAAGTGATTGTTCTTTCTTTTTCCAGCTGTAACCTGCCCTCCTCCATCCATTCCTAAGTTCGCAACCCTTAGTGATTTTAAGTCATTGACTAAAAACCACTCCCTCTATGGAACAAAAGCTGTCTTCGAATGTTTGCCACACTATGCCATGTTTGGAAATGATACAGTTACCTGCACAGCACATGGAAATTGGACTGCATTACCAGAATGCAGAGGTAGGTACAAGGACAAGACAAAACTATAATGATAGTGTAGAATCCCATTTTTGGGAATGGAAAATTCCACTCTCATCGAGTGTTTCCAATGGCCTTGTTCAATTCATGTTTATTGGCATCTACCATGTTCTGGGCAGTGTACTGGGTGTTGGGGATACCAGATGAAGGACACCTGGCTTCTGACGTCAGGAGAATTCTACATAATGCCATGAACTGTTTGGAACTGCCTGGGAGGGCTTCCCAGAAGACAAGAAGTGGAGAATGAGGGGAAGTCATGGGAAGTCAGGGAGCCGTGAGAGAACAGGGTGTATGCATGGACAGTCAAATATGGTAGTGAGATTGGTGGGGAGAAGGCAGGATTAAATTGGGGAGTTCTAGGAGATGATGGTGAAAAACTGGACTGTAGTCGGATTGTCCCAAGCTTTTATAGTCCACCTAAATTTAAGAATCATAAGAACATTTGATTTAGGGGCGCCTGGGTGGCTCAGTGGGTTAAGCCTCTGCCTTCAGCTCACGTCGTGATCCCAGGGTCCGGGGATCGAGTCCCGCATCAGGCTCTCTGCTTGGCAGGGAGGCTGCTTCCTCCACTCTCTCTGCCTGACTCTCTGCCTACTTGTGATCTCTTTCTGTCTTATAAATAAATAAAATCTTAAAAAATTTTTGATTTAAAAAATTATGAAAATTCTTCCTCTTCTACTTATTTTTATTTTTGACAGAGAGAGAGAGAGAGAGAGAGAGAATGCATGTGCTCGTAGGGTGGGGAGGGAGAGAATCTTAAGCAGGCTCCATGCCCAGTACAAAGCCTGACATGAGGCTCAATCCCATGACCCTGAGATCATGACTTAAGCTGAAATCAAGAGTGGGATGCTTGACCAACTGAGCCACCCAGGCGCCCCCTTCCTCTTTTAATTTGATCACTGTTATCTTTGAATTTGTCAACTGCAAAACAAGTAGACAAATTATAGACTTTATCATGCACACAAGGAGTTATACTAAGGACTGCTACTTTCTCCTCTAGTAGATATTGCTGATTTCTTCTGAATGATTCAAAGCATAAATGCTTTTTAGCAGGGGAAACTACTAGCAATAATACCTAGCTCCTTCTGTGGGATTCAAACTCTGGGTCAGGTACTGGTCTCCTGCTGTATATGTGTCATCTCATCTCATTTAATTCTCTCAAGTCCTAAGCAGTAGGTTCTTTTTTTTTCCCCCAACCTTTCACCTACATGTATCAACCATCAACATGTTGTGACTTGTTTTGTCTCTCTCCCTCTTTTTCCATAGACAGATGCTTTTTCTTCCTGTACCATCTGAAAATAAGTTGTACACATCATGACACTTAATCACAAATACTTCAGCAGGAATGTTCTAAGGACAAGAACATTGTTCTTGTAGGCAAGACATTTAATGTGTTTTGAATTATTAACAATAATGATTTAAACTATTATAATAATATAAACAATTAACAACATTTATTTCATGTGGAAATTTCCCCCCAGTTGACCCCAAGTTGTTCTTAGACATATGTTTTGTTTTACACGGGATCTCATCAAGAATTACACATTTGGTTTAGCTGTCAAGTCTCCTTAGTCTCCTTTGGTTATAGAATGATCCCCTGTGGGGCACCTGGGTGGCTTAGTCGGTGAAGCATCTTCCTTCTGCTTGGGTCATGATCTCAGGGTCCTGGAATTGAGCTCTGTGTTGGGCTCCCTGCTCAGCTGGGAGTCTGCTTCTCCCTCTCCATCTCCCACTGCCCCTCCCCTTCCCCCTACTCATGCTCATTCTGTCTCTGTCTCTCTCTCAAATAAATAAATATAATCTTTTTTTTAAAAAAAAGAATGATCCCGTCTTTTTAGTAGTCTTTACTTGACATTTTTATTTTTATTTATTTATATTTTATTTTTTATGGAGAGAGAGGGAACATTTGCTAGGGGTGGGGGGCAGAAGGAGAAGGAGAAGAGAATGCCAAGCAGACTCCATGTCCAGCATGGAGCTGGACCTGGGGCTCAATCTCTCAACCATGAGATCACGACCTGAGCCAAAATCAAGAGTCAGATGCTTAGGGATGCCTGGGTGCCTGGGTGGCTCAGTCAGTTAAGCATCTATCTTTGGCTCAGGCCATGATCCCAGGGTCTTGGGGTCGAGCCTCACATCGGGTTCCTTGCTCAGTAGGGAGCCTGCTTCTCCCTCTGCCTGCTGCTTCCCCTGCTTGTGCTCTCTTCCTCTCCCTGTCACATAAATAAATAAAATCTTACCAAAAAAAAAAAAAAAAGAGTCAAATGCTGCTTAACTGACTGAACCACTCAGGTGCCCCTCCTTGACGTTTTTAAGAATACAGGCTAGCCGTCTTGTAGAATGTTCCATACCCTGAATCTAGGTGATGATTTACTTGTGATTAGATTCAAGCTAAATAATTTCATGAAGAATTCATTCCAGCACATCAGGAGGAATCACTGGTATTGGTTTGTTTCATCCCTCAGTCAGGTAGGTTGTGTCTTGGTAAAGGCATCTCTTGGTAAAGGCATCTTTTCCTCTTCGGAAGCAAATGGTGGGTGATACTTTGAGACTGTGTGAATATCTACCCTCTCGCTGACATTTTGGCATCCTCTGATGATGCCCGACTTAGTCAATTACAACACTGGTGGTTGCAAACTGGTGACTTTCTATCTTTTCTCCTATATTTATTAGTTTGCATTCTTCTATAGAAAAATGCTTTACTTTTCTTCCATGGACTATTTTAAAAATATTATTATAGACTCATAGATTCAGGTGCCAGGAAAAACATCATGTTTCTCCTTCATATTTCATTCTGGCTTCTCGTATAGACTAAAGACATTCATAAGAATTATATTTAACATCTAGGGGTGCCTGGGGGGCTCAGTGGGTTAAGCCTCTGCCTTCGGTTCAGGTCATGATCTCAGGGACCTGGGATCGAGCCCTGCACTGGGCTCTCTGCTCAGCCAGGGAGCCTGCTTCCCTCTCTCTCTCTCTCTGCCTGCCTCTCTGCCTACTGGTGATCTCTCTGTCAAATAAATAAATAAAATCTTAAAAAAAAAAAAAGAATTAGATTTACCATCTAAAATCCAATAATGGTGAGCTAGTGTGCGTGGAGGGAGGCTTTGTGTTCTAATTTCATGGTTTGTTGATTAAAAGAGGCAGAATCATTTTTTCTTTTTTAAAACCCACCATTTTAGACTGCATGCAGATGAAATTTGGAATAAATAACACCTTGCTATTGTATGAGAGCCCAAAGCACTTGGTAACTCGTTGATTTACTTTCAAAGTATTGTTTTTTCCTTTATAATATCTAGGGTCCTGTGGGCTTAAGAAAAGGGGGACAGGATTAAGCACCTAGGTCCCTAGAAATTGAATTCCAGTTACAGGAACACCCGGTGACTCAATGGGGTAATGGAGATTGGAATGTAAATATTTTGTAACTGTGGAAGAGCACTACATATATACTAATATGTCTTACTGAATATACTTTTTAGAAGTAAAATGCCCATTCCCATCAAGACCAGACAATGGGTTTGTGAACTATCCTGCAAAACAAGCACTTTATTACAAGGATAAAGCCACATACGGTTGCCATGATACGTACGTCTTGGATGGCCCAGAAGAAGTAGAATGTAACAAATTTGGAAACTGGTCTGCACAACCAAGTTGTAAAGGTATGAAATAGGGGTGCGGTCTTACTACGTCCCCGAACTTACCCAGTGGATTACTTTTACTTGCCGTTTTCTTGTTCCAATCATTTTCTGCTTGTTGCTCAGACTTGCTTCACAGTTATTTGTATGTGAAAGACTTTAGGACTCACATGTGCCTTGGGGAGCTTCATGCTTAGCAAGTGTGTTTGAGATGAAACTGTAGGAGATACACAGATCCTTTGTAAGCATTGATGATATGGTGGACAATGGTGTGGGTTTCCTATGCTCGTTTCCCTGCAAGCATCCTTTTCTGCTTTGTCCTAGACTAGACTCTTCTTGTTGCTATAAAAAACCAACCACACATTCAAGCTAGTTCAAGGAAATAGGGGTTTATCATAAAAAGGCAACAGGTGATCATATGGACGTTGATGACGAATGACGAAGACATGAAATGCCACTGGTCCTCTTGAGGATTTGAACTGAAGCCAGGCCCTATTGCTGCTCTTTCCATATCTCAGTGACCTCATGTTCTCTCTCATCTTCATGTTTCCCTGCTCACTCTCCTCAAACCTGGCTTGACTCTCCCAGGACCTCTCAAGCAAAGGGCTCAACACTAACTGGCATTTTTTCCTGGAAACACTGGTTCCTTTTGAGTTAGGTGTCTATCCTTGATCCAGGGTCATGCTTATGCAGAGAACAGTTACCTAGCACTGTATTTCTGCGCTGGTTGTTACAGGGCTGAGCAGTTTAAGCAGAAAAGGAAACTAGGCACAGCAGGCAAAACGATGTATTATTAGTGTCTTAGGTTGGGGTCCCCTAGAAACAGAGCCTGAGACAGGGATTCAAGTACAGGTGATTTACTCAGTGAGTGTCTCAGGAGAAAGTGAGGCAGGTAGGCTCGAGTAGGGCACTGGTTCTCAAACTTCACTGTGTCCCAGAATCACCTGGAGGGCTTATTTAAACCCAGAGTTTTTGATTCAGTAGATCTGGGATAGGACCTGAGAATTTGCTCAAGTTACCAAGCAATACAGCTGCTGATGATCTTGGGACTAAATTTTGAACAAACAGGTGGTCTCAAATAGAGTCTAGTTTTAATTTCATCCCCTTGGGAGCTCTGGACCATGAATTCTACCCCAGTTGATCCCACAAAAGGCATGGGGACCTGCTTTTTGTATCCCCTTACTGGTCCATCATTGGCTATGGGCTGCTCTCTTCCCTGACCCTGGTGTGGAGGCTGATTTGCTCCTGGAAGAGGTGGCTCCCTTATGGCTGAAGGCAACTTTTCAGAGAAAGGAGCATTTGTGAACTATCATCAGCCAACTCTCACAGTAGCTGTGGGATGGCTGCATTAGCTCAATAAATGAGATTTCAGTGTGGCAGTGGAGGTTTATATAAAATGGCAGTATCTCGTAGAAGTTCTTTTTCTCGGAAGCCTAAAATCTGATGCTTCTGCTCTGACCTTATTATGTGGGTACTCTAGGGGGAGAAAAGGGTGTCTTGGAAGCCATGATTAATGGTTCCATGGATAAAGAACTTCTGTTGGCCATGACACTGACGTTACTCACTATGAACATTCTTGGAATCTTCCTGTCTTGAGCAATGTGTTTCAAGCATACTCATCTACTGATTCAAATGCTACATTGTCCTTAAGGAAGACTCACTGAACTCCCAAGTCTTGACCATGAATATTGTGTCTTTCAGCTTCTTGTAAATTATCTGTTAAAAAAGCAACAGTGCTGTACCAAGGACAGAAAGTAAAGCTTCAAGACAAATTCAAGAATGGAATGTCGCATGGTGAAAAAGTTTCGTTCTTCTGCAAGAATAAGGAAAAGAAGTGTAGCTATACAGAGGATGCTCAGTGCATTGATGGCACCATTGAAATCCCCAAGTGCTTCAAGGGTGAGTCCGACCCTGGTAATTTTAGCTGGGATTCCCACTTGCCTCTCACCATAGGAAGTACTTTAATTACATAATGATTACAAGAAGCCATGTGAGTTTGGCCTCTGGATTTTCTTTCCTTTTTTTAAAAAAAATATTTTATTTATTTATTTTACAGAGAGAGAGAGATCGCAAGTAGGCAGAAAGGCAGGCAGAGAGAGAGGGGGAAGTAGGCTGTCCACTGAGCAGGGAGCTAGAGGAGGAACTCTATCCCAGGACCCAGGAATCATAACCTGAGCTGAAAGCAGACACTTCATTGACTGAGCTACACAGTTGCCCCTGGCCACCAGATTTTTAAAAAGAGCAGGGGAGCAGGAGAAAACAGTGAGATGAAGCAATAAACTGATTCATTTTCTCCACTTGCATTAACATTTTCCTTTCCAATTCTTTTCCTTAAAGCTCAGGGTTGCAGTTTTATTCAGTGAATATTGAGATGAATTATGCCATCTTGCATAATTCTAGATTAAGCTCAAAAATAATATTGCATGGAATATTGAATAATAATAATATTTACTTGGGGTGCCTGGGTGACTCAGTGGGTTAAAGCCTCTGCCTTCGGCTCAGGTCATGATCCCAGGATCCTGGGATCGAGCCTCGCATCGGGCTCTCTGCTCAGCGGGGAGCCTGCTTCCCCCCTCTCTGTCTGCCTCTCTGCCTACTTGTGATCTCTGTCAAATAAATAAATTTTAAAAAAACTTAAAAAAAAGTTGGGGATTAAAAAAAAATATTTACTACCCCTCAGTCCCAAATTACAGAGAACTCACCCCAATTACAAAGTAGCTCATGGTAATGGTGATTAGTTTATAGATCTTCTAACATTTTTTCCTCTTTCTTCAGCATTCCTGGACTTTGAAAAGTCTTCATTAGGGCAAAGTATTCATTAGAGCAAAATACTTTAAGGAGGAGGAGGTTATGTTTGTGTGAGATCAAGAAGTATACAATGATCAGCATTTAGAACTGCCAAATTTTTAAATTTTCCGGTTTAGGGCTTAAATAGCTTTATACTATGAAGGAAGAATGAACCAGAGGCTGAAGGTACTATTGCCTCTTAGTTTAGAATGGGATCCAAGAGGGATGCCTGGGTGGCTTAGTTTCTGCCTTTGGCTCAGATCATTATTCCAGGGTCCTGGGATCTAGCCCCACATCAGGCTCCCTGCTCAGCGAGGAGAATACCTCTCCCTCTGCCTGCTGCTCCCGCTGCTTGTGCTATCTCTCTCTGACAAATAAATAAATAACATCTTAAAAAAAAAAAAGTTCCAAGAACACTGACAGCCGTATACTGGGCAGGCAGGTTAGAGAAGATGAGGGGTTTGAGAAATGACCAGCTAGAGACGGAAAAGGGAATGAAAATCACACCTACTTCATAGGTTTGTTTACCAGAAATATGATCCATGCCACAGAGGAAGAGCTCAAACAATGATAGTTATTATAATCACTAATGGTTAGAAATGCACTGGATAAATTGTTATTGTTTCAAATATAGCAGACCCCCGGGCAGATATTAAATACTGAAATTGACAGAGGACCTGTAGCCTCATTCAAATCAGTACACAACATATTAGAAAACATAATTTTTAAAAAACCAAGCTGAGTTTTGTTGATGTATTTCTTCGGGCCATTGTTCCTTACAGTCTTCAGACAGATACGGCACTGTTAGTGCATCGAGAATAAATGAAAGGCTGATACAGTTGGTTTCTTTTTTTTTTTTCTTTTAATCTTGACTGTCAGAATTAGACAGAACCTTTTATTTTCTCTCTTGGAAATGAGTGCCTTATCATTTCCCTGATGTTTTCTCCTATCACTGAAACCTCACAGTCAATGGTTTTATTCATATAATTCAATTTTCCCACCCGTTGGTAAATTCTATTTGATTTGGCTTAGGCACTTAGCAAATTTAAGAAATGATCATTTCTCTTAGAATCTTTCTCTTTCTCTTTCCGAACAGAACACAGCTCTCTGGCTTTCTGGAAAACCGATGCATCAGATGTGAAACCATGCTAAACTGGTTTTCAGATTCAAAGTTAAATGGCGCACTGAATCGGTGTTTGTCCAAGGAACATGACAAAAGTGGAAAAATAAAGTGACTGAATTTATTCCATTTCTCACTGCAGCGTGGTAGCTTCCTTTTAGTTATGTTAGCTGGTTAAGAAACCCAGACACTTGGAACTTGGCCATTTCGTGATGTGGAACGGAAAGGGTACATAATTACCCAGGTAACCTAGTTTGGTCTCCCTGGTTCTACTCAAATAATTTCACCTTAACCAACTGCAGTATTTTTCATAGAATGGTCCCGAGAACCATCACACGAGCCCTCAGCTCTGCCTGGAAGTCTTACCGTATTTCTCTAATTTGTGTACTCCCCTCCTCTCCAAGGTGGTTACTTCTCTTCTCAACCCTCCTCAAGCCACCATCTCTCCCCTCACCCTCATCTGATAATCTTCCTTTTCTTGCACCAAGAAAATAGAAAAGACCCTTTAAAAGACCTTTCCATGGGGCGCCTGGGTGGCTCAGTGGGTTAAGCAACTCTTGATTCAGGCACAGGTTATGTAATCTCAGGGTTGGGAAATTGAGCCCCAGCAGGGAGTCTGCTGGAGAGTCTCTCTCTCCCTCTCCTTCTGCTCCCCCCAACCCTCACTGGTGCATGCTGTCTCTAAACAAATTTTTAAAAAAATAAATAAAATAAAAAATCTTCCCATGACCAGATCTGTCTACTTACTAGTACCTATACCAGATTCTCTGCCTTCTGTCTTGTTGCAGTGGATAAACTCAGTTCCCATCTAGGGGCAATCCATATGCACCAGATCCCATCTTCTCTCTCCCACTTAAGGATTTTGCTCCTGCCATGAGTGATCTTCCATTTTTATTTTTTTTCTTCCTATTGGACCATTTCTATCAGTGTAGAAGTATACAGTAATATTACCCTTTACAAAAACCCTTCCTATTGTCTGACATCTTTTTCCAGCTACTGCCCCGTCTTTTTCCCCCCTCTTTTTGTTTTTATTTTGTTTTAATTTTTAATTATTTTTTATTTTTTTATATTCCTCATTTTTATAAAAGTACTAGAAAAAGGCATTTCTCTTTGCCAGCTCTACAAATAGGACCTGTCACTACTCTTGAAATCTGTCTCCTCAAAATTCCCTCACTGATGCTTTTTCATTAGGGTTTGACCGGCTTGCTGCGGGTGGGGGCCAGATCTCTCTTCCAAGATATTTCTCTGCTCCTCCTTTGCTTCCCCCCACCCCCAAGGTGGTCATTCAAAAGCTCCACATTCCCATTACTTAACCTTAAAAAAGTTTTACTTTTTCTTCCTCAATCCTTCCTTTCTGTATGGTCTCTCCCTCTCCGGGTCTTTGGGTTTGGGTTTGAGACCATTTGATATCTCCTCTTTGTAAACCAAAAAGCCCTATTTGGGGATTTTGCTGAGCAAAATAGCCTTCTGCTCTGGACTTCCTCTCTTAGCACAAAGCTTTACACCCACTGTTTCCTTTAACTTCTTACGTACTATTTTTTAAATGGACCTTCCAGGGCACCTGGGTGGCTCATTCCGTTGAGTGTCTGACTCTTCATTTTGGCTCAGGTCATGATCTCAGGGGTCGTGAGATAGAGACCTGCTCCACACTCAGCACAAGTCTCTTTCTCTCTCTTCCTCTGTTCCTCCCCTCCTCCCAATCTCTCTCTCTGAAAATAAATAAATAAATAAAATCCTTAAAATAAAAAATAAAAAAATAAAAGAGATCCTTCCCCCTCATCCCGTGCAACAGGACTGAGAATGAAAAGACTGCGGTAAAAATTTTAGAGCATGTCCTCCTGCTCCAGACATGATTGCAAGGTTTGCTCCAGAAAAGGAGAGAGCATGTTTTTCTATTGTCCTCCTTTTTGTTACAAATGTTTTCCTGATTAATTTTATTATTTCAAAATTTAAAAAATACATAGGAAAAAATTTTAAATTGCTCACTGTCCCTCAGCTTACTTAAACGGGACTATGGAGCCGTGAATGTCAGTGATTTTCTTGGGTATTTGGTGAGTGGTTATTGGGGACTTTCTAATGCCAACCTGAGCTCCAAGGCCTTTTGCTCTATCTCTGAGGGCCTCTTAATAAAGATTCACAATTAAGCTTTCCTGTTCTTTCACGAGGCCATTACCTACTTGGATCAACTGAGACATAATCCAGAATTTTTGAAGTTCTATAGTCCAGCTTATACCCAATGAATGAACATACCCAATGAGGGATTATTTACTTAAGTATTACCATGACCCATCTCAAGGGTATAACCAGTAGGATATGGACCAATCAGAATGGATGGCTGTCTTGGACTGGGGGATGGGGTGGGGTGTTGAGGCTGAAAGCCTCCCGATGTATGAGGTGTTACCCTGCAGTTAGACTGGTGAAAGCAGGGCACAAGGTCTTATGGGAAGAGCTGTTGGCCTTGTGGTTGGTACTCAGAGATTTGGGGCAACAGCTATCTATCAACTGGTGTAAAAGGTTTTCAATATTTTCACACCATGTATGTCCTACCACGCCTCCTTTCAAGAAAGATTTGGGACATCTTGACATCGAAAGGACATAAACAACATAAAAAGAAAAAAAAAAGCCACAGGCAACAGAGAAAACAGAACAAGAACATATATCGTATATTTGAAATTGTTATACCATTTATTTTTTAATGCTTTATTATTTCTTTAGAGTAGTTGTAGGTTTACAACAAAACAGAGAGGAAACATTTCGCATACACCGCCTGTCCTCACACGCGTGGAGCCTAGCCGTTATCAGCATCACTTACTGAAGCGGTACATTTTTAGCCAAAGTGAAACCTACACTGACATATCACCCCAAGTTTACCCTGGTCTATTTCTGGGCTCCATGTTCTGTTCCATTGATCTATTTGTCTATTATTTTGCCAATACCACATTCTCTTGATAACTGTACTTTCATGTCCACTGTTTGGTAAGATCAGGTGTTCATACCACCAAAGTTTCCTGAGCCCAGATTTCCTATATTCAACCTACAGTATCTCTCTACCTCCTATCCCCTTAACTTGCTCTACAAAGAAGCTCCTAGAAGACGGTAGGTTTGTAGAGGATGGCGTTTTGCGTTTTGCACTACCCCCCCCACCCCCACTGGAAGGCATTTCAGGCTGCTGGATAGGCTTGGGTCCCTGAAAAATTAATCAGAGTAGACTTTAAAGCTTAAGCCATAGTCCGAGTCTTCTAATTTAATGATATTTTTATAGAAAGAAAAATCTGCTACTTTGGCAATTTGGATTAGAGGGCCCAGTCAGTAGAAACTGCCCAGTTCAGCCCTCCATTTCATGATTATGTGATCCATTTCACTACATAGGTAGATTCTCTTTCCCAAATGTTTTTCTTCTTAAAAGCTTAGGTCATCAGGTCACCCAGCATTAAAATTCAGCTATCCTCTCCCTAGTAGTACTGAGATGATGACCTCCCCTGCCAGCTGACAGAACAGGAAGGACCTCCCTCCTCCTCCCACAGGGTCAGATGGAGAAAGAGTGAAACTAAGGTTAAGGAGTCGGTTATCATCCTATATTTTAGCATCACTGAATTCATCTTCCCTTGTTATGTGATACAAATTAACTAGCAACAGCAAACCCAACCAACACTATAAGCTACATATGACCAAGGAGGGGTTCTTTCAAGACTAGGAGGTCCCCAACTGTGCCTCCTAATGCCCAGCTTTCTTCTCTTGGATGATGGCTGGTTAGGTTTCTCCATGCAAAGGTGTCCATGTTTTAGCTTTTCTCTCACACTGTCCTATGTATTTGTCAGGGGTTTAGAGTATCAAAAATGACTTCTCTCATTTCTAAGGCATTGACCAGTCTTTCAATATATAGGGTCTCATTTCTGAGGCCCCAAACTCAATAACAAATATTCATCAGTGAAATTTCTCATGTACTCTGAGGATCATTCCCCACCTTAATCCCTAAGTGAAAGATGGAAAAGATACAAGAAACAGAAAAAGAAAAGAAAATCACCTGGGATGTGTGCAAGTGTGTGTGTGAGTGTGCGACATATGGGTCGACATGAATGTGTGTGTGTGTGTGACTATGCAATGTATGCTTGTACACAAATGTGTGGGTGTGTGAGAGAAATAGTTCTTTGTGGGCAAATGCTGCCTCCTAGTGGCATCTCTTACTTTTAAAAGTGTTTGCGAAAACAGTTGGCAATGAATTCAGAAGATAACCAAGTCTCCTAGTGTCAAGCAACAGGCAACTTTCCATGTACCTCACCTTTGTTATTTTTATTTTTCCAGTTATACCATAGGGAAGGTAAAGAAACTCAAGCTCGGGGAGTTTATGTCACTTAGTTTTATCAGAGTCACAAAGCTAGTGACAGTTACCCAAACTTCAGAACTATGTCTTTTCTACCACTCTCACGCTGCTAATTTAGCGATGAATTTTCCTGGTAGTTTGTCAAAATGATGGCAATCTAAAGTTAGAATTTCACAGCCTCGGGAGGAGTGCTGAAACATTCGTGGAGAGATTTCCTGGCAGGTGGTTGCCAGCGTGTAAGCACGCTGGCTGGGGCATATGTGTATTTCCGAAGGGGAGAGGAGCCGGTGTCTCTCTGTTGATAGCTTCCTTATGGCTCGTCCAAGAGGGCAGGATAGAGCAAGGCGCAGGGACAGGGATAGAATGCCAGGAGCAGCTTACTTCCGGCCTAAGGATGGAATCCAGCATCACTGTGATAAAGGTGGTAACTCTTTTTCTTCTTTTTTTCTTAGTAGTGAAGAAAAGAAAATAATGCCTCACAATTCTGTTCCTGCTCTCTTTACAATGCATTTATTTTTTGTCCTACGATTTCTATTTTATGACCTGAAAATAGGAAGTTCTGAATCATTTCCTATCCAGTTTAAGGAATTTGCTGGCTGTAGGATTATTGTGATATCTACCTCTAATGTGTTTACATAATAGTAATCATTCTTGGTATTTGTAAATTGCTTTCCATTTAGATAGCTGAGATTCATTCATTTATTTCACTCTAATGATACAGAGTATCTTGATAATGCAAAATGGTGAATCAACTGAAACTTAAGTAGTTAGATTATCAGCCCATGCTAAGTACTGTGTGCAGAGGCATTATTGGTTTTGAA